AATTCTCCACTGGAAGGTTATTAGTCCATCTTTGCTGATGTCCCAGTTCTGTTTTGTTCTAGTTCAGCACGTTGGCAGTGGGGGATTACTGTGTGGGCCAATGGGGCCTGTGCCCAGGGGCCCCAGTCAATTTGGGGGCCCCCCCAGAAGCACTGGCACTTTGTCCCATTCCCTGCTCCTCCTGCCCCCCATCCCGGCCCACCAGGATGAAGGAGCCTGTGGTAGGGTGAGAATCTTCCCTCCACCCACTGCCCAGAGCTAGCCGACTCACTTGCCCGAGCCCCACACAGAAGTCGCCTGAGGGACTTTCCCTCTCCTGCCCCTTGCACAGGGCTGGCCCAAGCCCCTCCCTCCCTCCCCCCCCAGTCCCACCACTCTCACACCCCCAAGCTCCTTTTTGGCAAAACTGGGCATTTGTCCTGTTTGCTCTTGCCAACTGATCATCAGTTTTTCCAAAAAAGTCAGGACATCTAGGGCCAAAATGGGACGTATTGCCAGCCTAGGCCAAGGGTCCCCAAACTTTTTCAGTCACCTCCCTCCCCCTTACCCAGTCTACACCCCACTGGGGCCTGGGGCCAGGAGCAGGAGCTGCAGTCAGGACCGAGGCCAGAGCTGCAGCTGGGAGTGGAGCCACAGCTAGGGGTGGGGTGGGACCCCGCCATTCCTCCCCAAACATTCCTGCATGCTCTCTTAGGGGGGCATGCCCCAGAGTTTGGGAACCACTGTCCTAGTCTGTGATAAGGGCTGCCCAAGGAGGCTGGGCAGCTGTGGGGAGCCCTGACCTACGCACCTGCCTAGGGCAGGGGCTAGTGTGCCTGAGAGCAGCCCCTGCCCCATGTCCCTTCCCCCAGAGTGTACTGCCCATGGCAGATGGAGGGTTCAGGGCTCCTGGCCAGTCCAGGGCCTGGGGGAGCGGGGGGAGAATAGAAAGAGAAGGAGCAGGGGGCAGGACCCTTCAGCACAGGGGGTTGTGGGCCCAGGGCCCCAATAAATCTTAATCCACGTCTGCATATTAGCACCCTCATAAGGAAGCTACCCATCCATTTTGCCCAATTCAGGTGTTTGACTAGGGGACCCCCCCATCTGTGATTTTGAGGAGTGGGTAATATTTGGGGGCTTGTGAGAATTGACCCCTCCCAGACCCCACTATGGAAAATCTGGCCCATCATGCATATGTAGGAGCCACATCTGGTGGTCAACAGTGGCTGTGAGAATGACAGCAGAGATCCCTTCTAGAGAAGCCAGACAGTGCTTGCTAACCATGGTCCAGCCCTACTACAGCTTCTGAGACAACTGCTCAGTGATGGGGGGGGAAGTGGCTTTCTGCCCCATTTAATAGAGTTTCTGTCCAGCTGCACGAGAAGAGGGGACTCTATTACAGAAGGAAAATTCCTCCCCTGCCGTGCAGCATGAGGTTACTGAAGTCCTGTGCCACGCTCAGCTGTGCCCAGAGCCAAGCCGCTGGCATTTCGTGTTTTGCTGAGGTACTGTGTATTACGTGTATATCCATCAGCTGCTGCAATGTTTTGGTAAGAGGCCCTGGGGGGAATTTAAACTGAAGTAACCCCTGGTAGAAGGGATGGCTATCATCCCACATCCAGGGGTGTAATTGCCCAGCGCTGTGGGAGGAAGAAAGCCCAAGAGATAAGCCCTTGTATCAGAGGCCTGAGGTGAAGTAGTGGGCAAGCTTTGCAGATATAAAGCAAAGTTAGCAAAAGTCAGGCTGTGAACAAATGTCAGGCTCTGCCTGCTTGCAAGTTCGCAGAATCTGGCAAGAACAGGGCTGATAGCACTTCTTAGGAATGTGTATTTCTGCACTAGGCACAGAGTACTCCTACAAACACATTCCAGAAGAGTGGTACCAGAACATCCCAATATCAAGGATGGTAAAAAAACATTCCCCAAGGATAACAGAAACACACTGACCCCTTCTAAAAGATAAGGTCAGGATGACAGTATGATACTTAGTCCTGGCATGAGTGCAGGGGACTGGACTACATGACCTCTTGAGGTCCCTTCCAGTCCTATGATTCTATGAATAGAAATGTTTTAATCAAGCCAACATGTACAAGGAGATGGCTGATAATTAGCCACATCAGGGGGCAGTAATTAACTATGTCAGAGGCAGTATGTACCTCGTTTGTATCCATGTATAAAGATGTCTCTCAGAGTGTCTTGGTCCGACCGAGGGGGGGAATGGAAAGTCCCGCCATTCACTGAGCTGCATCCATTGTCACAAGCATACGTCTTAGTAACCTCGTAGAGTCTGCCAGGTGCTATTACTGTGCTTCATCGACAATAAGCCTGGCTGGGTGCCTTCGTACCTTAATGGATCTTGTGGTCATTGGGTGGTTTGCTTGAGGTCTGCTGAGCCAAATGTCTGCACGGAGCTGGGGCAGCGCACATGGAGAACACACACACGCAGCCGAACATCAAACAACACTGGTGACCCACGACCGCTGATCAGGTAAGTAAGTGAGCTGTCCTCTGTAGGAATCGTGATCTAACATGATGAAAACCATGAGCGAGGGAATCCCCTATCCTCTCCCTGCAAATCCCCACAGAGTTTGATGAAATTTGGACCCGTTGGGTTGCCAGCAAGGGGGGCCCATATGAATTTAAAAAAGAAAGTGGGGGAATATGGACAGCAATGGCAGAAACTGAAACTTTGAAAAACAATAACAAGAGTACATAACGTAGAATCTTGCAATTAATGGCCATAGCAGTAAGAGGTCTTAAACAACAAGCCACAATACTGGCCAGGCAAGTAATAAAAAAAACCCAGGGAAGTAGAAGCAGCATCCCAGGCTGTCGAGCACTAGAAAGCCCAAGCACTTTTAGCAGGGCACATGATATGCTCGAACAGATAAGGCAGGAGAATAAAAAATTGGAAACAGCTGTGGAAAAACTGCAAAAGAAAGAGGTGTCGTCCCATTACCCAATACCAGACTTCAAGTAGTTTTATAGTGCTTGAAGGATGGGGACAAAAATGGAAACAGGTGGCCCTAGCCAAATTAAAAGATGGAAGGAACATGGAATAATTGGAATGGATGCTGCACTGGGGCCACGTGGAATGACCCATGTCTGCCACCATCCAATGGCCCATGGGCAGGGGCTATCGTACTGCAACCAGCACCTTATAAGAAGAACCAGGTTCAGAAAAAAAACAAACAAAAAAAGCCTTCACCAAAACCTAAATCAATTCCTGTTAAAACGGGAACACTGGGTAAAGAGGGGGAGCCCAGCACTGGAAATGGAGCACAGCACCTCACCAATACCTCGATTCACCCTGAATGTCACTCCACAAATAACTCAAAGCGGATAGGAACTATTAAAAACAAAACTAAACTCAAAAATTAGAAAACAACTTGAAAGGGCCATGGCCCCATAGTGATCGTGAAAAAAGGGAAAATATTGTGCCTCAGTACGGTCACTACACACACCTCACCCACTTGCTATAGTACGCAATAGGTCTTTCCTATTTCCATCAGTATCCTGAGTGATCATACTAACAATACAGAAATTTTTAACACTAGGATACAACACAAAGGGGAACTCATTGTTGGGGGCAGCCAAAGTAGGCACTGCCATTAACCCCCTTTTCAAGCTTTCCCTATGTACTAGCTGCTGCTTCTGTTCAGGTTCATTGCAGTCTTTTAAGCACCTCATACAAGGTCACTGCTTTTTCTCCATATCCCACCATAAATTCTTGGCAAAAGTTAGCGAGCCCCCCAAAAGACTAAGGATTCAGTATCCACTGGTATTGGAAGGATCTGATGGATCTGAAATTAAACACAGAATCCTTTGACAGCAGATAGAAAAACTGGCAGTAGAATTTAGCAAGGTCAGGATGGTCAAAATAAAAGTGCATAAAAGGGAAAGGCCCATTACAAATGGGAAATGAACAGGCAGATAAATTTGCCAAAGCAGCAGCACTTACTGGAACATTATGGGAATTTATGGAATTATGGGAATTTAATAACCAGGCACAAGTAAAACTAGAAAAAACATTTGATAAAAATAACCAGGAAGGATTGCAAGTATTACAGAACATGCAGGCAAAAAATGTCCCTCAAAATGGAAGGCTGTGCCTCTGATAAAGGAAGGGAATTTAATTCTGGCAAAGCCAGAATGAGCACCACTCAAAGCAGCTCAAATCACCACATTTAAAAAGACAGGTTCGCTTTCTCCCGAACTCCTATAGGAGGAAATATCTGCAGGAACAGCAGCCTCTGATGGCTCCAACCCGCCCAGCCCTTTGTAGTCAGGTAGTTGAATTTTAAAGTAAACTTTTATTATGAACAGATACCAGTTCAGATCAGCACAACCAGCCGCCTGATTCCA